TAACAAATTTATTAGAGCATAAGCTTTCGTGGACTACAGCCCACTTCTTCGGATGCATATAGAATGGAACATATATTGAGGAGATATATATATACACACACATACAGAGAGCATGAACAGGTGGGAGTTGTCTTATCAACTCTGAGAGGCCAATTAAGTAAGTGGGGAAAAAAACTTTGGAAGTGATAATCAAGATTAGGTCCTATGATTCATCAGCCATACCATCAGGGGCTCGTTCACCTGCACATCTACCAATGTGATATATGCCATCATGTGCCAGCAATGCCCCTCTGCCATGTACATTGGCCAAACCGGACAGTCTCTACGCAAAAGAATTAATGGACACAAATCTGACATCAGGAATCATAATACTCAAAAACAAGTGGGAGAACACTTTAACCTGTCCGGTCATTCAATAACAGACCTGCAGGTGGCTATCTTACAACAGAAAAACTTCAAAAACAGACTCCAAGGAGAGACTGCTGAGCTGGAATTGATATGCAAACTAGATACGATCAACTTAGGATTGAATAAGGACTGGGAATGTCTGAGCCATTACAAACATTGAATCTATCTCCCCTTGTAAGTACTCTCACACTTCTTATCAAACTGTCTGTACTGGGCTATCTTGATTATCACTTCAAAAGTTTTTTTTTCACTTACTTAATTGGCCTCTGAGAGTTGGTAAGACAACTCCCACCTGTTCATGCTCTCTGTATGTGTGTATATATATCTCAATATATGTTCCATTCTATATGCATCCGAAGAAGTGGGCTGTAGCCCACGAAAGCTTATGCTCTAATAAATTTGTTAGTCTCTAAGGTGCCACAAGTACTCCTGTTCTTTTTGTCCATAAGTAGTGTGCCCCCCCCAGTACATAGCATCATGATGCAGTCTAATTAAATGGTCACATACTATTTGTTCTCCAAACTCACTGCAACGAGTAGTGCCTCATTCATTGCTCAGTGAATGAAGTAGTGGGTTGCAAGGAAAAAGAGAACGTTCTCTTGTGTGTAAGGCACTGGCCTTGGATCCAGAGGAGTTGGGTTCTGTTCGTGGCTCTCTCAGAGACTCCGAGGAGGTGCTGGGCGAGGCTATCAATATGTTCACACAAGGGGATGAAATGTAGGTTGCAGAGGCTATTGTAATTCCGGCACTGTACAATTTTAACTTTGCATCCTTAACATCTGCATCCTTAACTGTGTGTTTATAATTGTAAGAATAACTTTCATCCTCTTAAATATATCCATATTAAATAAAGTAGGGCTGGAAAAAAACATGATGTATTAATCAGCTGGTGTTGCCATCTTTGTGCATCCCATCCGTTCAGGAAAAATTAGTAAAATGACATTGGCCCTCCTCCCATGGAAACAGCTGCAGGAGGTGGCCTGGGAATGAAAAACTCCATCAGGATTCCCTTGTGCAGGATCATTCTGTTCTAGGGAGAGATATCACACACCAATGTTGCAGAATGGCCAGTAGTTTTGTCCCCAGAAGCCAGGGATTGACACTGATGTCGTGGGATCCTTAGCAGGCTATGGCTTTTTGTGTAGAGATCCTGTGTCTCCAGTCAGATTCCATGACAGCATGGCTCCATAAGAGTTGTGCTACCAAGGAATCCCCAGTCATTGACTGCTCCTGGAACCTCTTTTAAGATGGTGCTTTCTCAGTAAAGAGGGGGCTGTGGAACAGTTAATAAGACTCCATTAATTTTCTGTGGGAGAGAGACAGGAATGGATTCCCTTCTTCAGCCATCAATCCCCAATCCTATGGAAGGGACTCCACAAAGAAGGTGCTATGAAGGTAGATCACCACTACCATTCTTTTGTTTTGGAAGTGGTGGGAGGGACCATGAAGGGGACTCTCCACACCCCTAGTTCTGGGCAAATATTTTTGCCCATTAACCTTTATGAAGGTCTCTTGACGCTTTATACAAATGGTCCCATTTAGTGAGTTTTGTCATGTTAGTATAAAGTGATTGCCATACATTACTAGGCTAAAAGTGTTGAAGAAATAGGTATAGTTGTAACTGTGTCAGTCCCAGGATATTAGAGAGACAAGGTGGGTGAGGTAATTGGTCCAATAAAAGATAGTACCGCATTCACTTTGCCTCTTGACGAATTTATGAATTGTAATCTTTGAGACCACACCATCTTTTAAAGGATTTCTTATGAGCAGTAATTTTCCAAGTATTCATGGTTCCTCTATCTTTTGGAGTGGAAGAAGATGTTAGGGTTAATAAAATCAGAAGTTTTGGCACGCAGGTGCAAATCCTTGGAATTGAAATCGGTGGGAGTCTTGGTATTTACTATTATGAAGTGGTGGTTTGATCCAAAAGTATAGAAGGCTGTTATGGTTATGGTGTCAGAGGGCTTTTTTCCTTCTTTTGATCTAATTGTGACTCCCATGTAAAAAGTTGCAATTATTGCAATATGCATTAAAACTTAATTTCAATGTTTTTTCTTTATATCTGTAGTGATTGTTGAATTTACACAACTCATACATGATATATATTGCTTGGAACAACAAGGAATACTTCTGCAATATTCTTTGGTGACTTCAGCTTTCCTCTCTCTCTTCTAGTTTATATTTAGAGAATCTCTGAAGAATTCTAGGGTTTCCATTGACTGTACATATCTTTCTTTTAATGTCTTTTGGCAGATAGCTCAACAGCCAAAATGCAAGCTCACCAACATTTTTAGCTAACTTAATAAAATGTGTGTTTAAAATGGGAATTCCTTTAACCCCAGACATAGCTACCTTTGACCTTGCTTCTCTAGATTATTCATTCCCAATAGTATATCAAGGACAAGATAGAGGATAAAGGATTTCTTGATAGAAATTTTCATCTGGTGCACCTCACCTTTGTTAATTGTATTTCCAATAAGTAGTAATAAGTTATACAAACTTTAGACTTTGAAAATATTGATGCTTTAATGCAATCTCCATTTTTTGTGCATCTATCATACATTTTTGTTCATTTGATTACTCTAACAGAAAGAGAAGGCAGCAAATGATAAAAAGGAGGACAAAAAGGCAGCAGCAAAAGGGAAGAAGGGAGCCAAAGGCAAAGATGAAACTAAGCAAGACGATGCTAAAGAAGAAAACCACTCTGAAAATGGAGATACCAAAACTAATGAGGTACCTTAACTGCAGTGTATATATTAAAAAGCATAGTCACAAACAACTTTGTTTTTATTGCAGCTGCAGAGACAAAGGATTCCTCTTACCTTTCAGAGGGTGGCATAGTTAATTGATATCTATTGGGTAAGGGCTGGCAGCGATAACAGCAATAGGGGCCTCTTTCTGGAAGCAATGAGAGAACTTTTCCTTCAAACACACATCTGCTCTGTTGCCTCATGCTTTCCTTTCTCCCATTGGGTCAGGGAAGAACCAGAAGACCTAGGTACCTGCAGCTCCCCTGATGTGTTTCCCTCACCCACACTGAGCTGGGCTTTGTGCAGGGTATATGCATACTCTGTGCAGCCTCTCTGAATCCTGTTATGCTGGTTCCACTCTGTAGGGCCTATTGCACGTGCAGAGGTGGGCTCAGGTTTGTTTCTGTGCAGAAATTTAGTCTGGGCTAGGAGTGAAGGAGAAAGAGGGATGTGGAATAGATATCATGTGTGGGTGATTCTTCTCTCTCCCTCTTCCCCTGCTCTCCCAGCATGCCACTTCTAGTATACAAGCTTTCAGTTCAAAAAGGTCTCTCTTCAAGTCTTGAACATCCTTGTATTGTTTAATACCTTTAAAGAAAATGACTTCTTGACTCAACAGCCTGTATGATAAAAAGTGAATGTTGGAGCAGTATGTGCAGAAGTGTCTTTCAAAGGCTGTGAGTAATTTTTTTAAGGGGCAGGTGGAATCTGTTTTTAGCTAAGTTTGTTCTGCAGTAAGAACATTTTTTAAAAACCAGTAGAAAGAACTATATTTGAAAAAGTTGGACAAAAGGGAAGCAGATCACTGCAGTTTTACATATACATTTCAGATTTCCTTTCTGATCTATAGAAATGAGGTCTTGAATCCTGCCACCAGCATATGGTTGATGTGAATCTCAAAAATAGTCCAAATCTCCACCTGTTTGGATTTACCTTAATATTTCAGTGTTAACTGCAGCATCAGTCCTGTTTTAAAATTTGTAACATTTGTCTACCAAGATTCCAGTGTGTTTATATCTCCCTGAATAATTTTGTATCCCTTTCTAGTTAGATATGTTTTTTTGCAAACTAACCTGTTCAGCAGGCAGGTTAGAATGGGGCTTTTCTAGAGTGAAAATGTAATATTTCTGTTCTTCCCAAACACTTCTAGGCACCAGCTGCTGAAGCATCCGATGATAAGGAAGCCAAGTCCGAGTAATGTTAACCTTGCCCTATA